CCCCCCCCCCCCCCCCCCCCCTTAAGTTTTTTAATCTGTTCTGGTGAATATCCTCAGCATGGACCTAGTTATATTATAGGTACAATAGATGTACATAACAAGTAGCTCGCACAGATCATGAAGCAGAAGTCATTGCAATACCTTGAACCCTTGCTGCTCTTCTTTGAGGATATGGCCATTTAAAAGTGTTTCCAGTGGTTGACTAAAATACTTTATTTGACTACACCTGACAGTAGGTTTTTGCCTATGAAAGCTCATGCTTCTCTGAACCAGTTAGTCTCCCCTATCCTACCTTCTGCCTACCAAGAAGCAATAAAGGTATCCAGACCACATTCCCATTGTCTATAGGATTGCTATACCCTTGATGTACCAGACCAGATACTACATGAAGCAGATGTGGAAGACTCTCTGAACTTTTGTTCCCCTGGATTTGGGTCATGAATAATTTTTGGGGAGCAATTAGGGAAATCACTCCTGATGAACAGTGCAATCAAAGCTGGCTAATTGGACTTAAAAAGGGCAGGATCTTTATTCCAAAAACATTATGATGTCTTTGCCTAACTTAGACATGTGAATCAACTATACCAGGGGTTGGAGGCATTTGGGGCCATGGGGCTTTATTTATGCTGCAGCCAGGCAGTGAAGGATTTAGTGAAGTCACGGGGCTCTGCCTATGCCGCACTGCAGTTGGGCTGTAGAGAGAAGCAGCGGAAGCAGGCAGGTCCTAGTGCCTGCCTATCATCAGATTTGAGCAGGGTCATTCTGGCCCACAATCAGAAAATGTTGCCAATCCCTGATTTGAAAGTTCAAGATGGTCACTTTAGGAAGCGGTATGCTTCTATAGAGAGAGGTGACTGGCCCATGTGGTCTGCCTCTTGCTCATCCTTTTCTGCACAAGTGCTACTTACCTAACTTTGAGACATGCAATAAATTAAGAAATCAGAACTGTTAAAATGTGTATATTGCCTTTTTGTATTCACATTAGTATATGAGATTGTGCTGGCACAGTTTGGTTTATCTGCATGGTTTTAGAGTGTACTTGTTCTCCTCCTTGAACAATTGGTTGTTGAGTACAACTGATGAGGGCCATCCGAAATCAGTATGTTGCTACTGTAGGGTTGGAATCATTGTGGTTCGCTGGAACTCTCAACTTTGCTAGCTGATCAGCTGAGGTATGTAGCAGCTTTGCTAGATATTGCTGAGCTGCCTCCAGTATATTGCAAAGCTAAGAAATCCAATCTCAGAAGTTATAAGAGCTAGCAAGCTTCAGCTTGGAGAAGAATAAGAATGTTAAGTTTAATGGTAGTAACAGCATGCATTTGTATTTTCCATGTTTCTCAGCGTGAAACAGTAGGATTCTCATTTCACAGCATATCACCCAAAACTATTTTGTAACTGACGCTAGAAGAATTGTACTTGTTCATGGCCCTCTGTCATGAATACTTTTTGTCAGGTTCTTGTACTCAAGAATTTTAGGAGCCCTTGAAAAGTAAACCTGGTATATTGCTTACATGTGAGATGCAAACATTTTGTGCAGTTACATGTAAGCCTTTTTAATGTGGTTTTGACATTTAACACACAATTCCTGTGTATCCTTTTGTTTTCAGTTTTGTTGCTTGTTTCTTCATGCTTTTCCTCCTTGTACAGGTGAAGTCCTTTCTGGTCCCTAGGATATCCTTTATTTTTTACTTTTTTTTTTTTTGGTTCTGTGCTCTTTTCTCCTTTCCTTTTTCCACTCATTCTCCTCTTATTGTATCAGTTATTCAGTTAGGAAGGAGGGATAAATCAGGGCTACTTCCAGATTCTTGTACTCACTAGGCCTTACTTAGGTTCTAATACCATTTGTTTTCAATGCTTTTCAATTTTAAATGCTTTTAGCCAGCTCCCCTCTCAACCTGAAAGAAACCCAGCCATAGTGATAAATGCATTGCAGAGAAAAACATTTATTTATGTTGGAAAGGTCTTTATACTTGTTTTAACAACTTTAAAAAAAAAACCAGTTATAACTAATGTATTGTTTTGCTTTGTTTTATGTTTTAGAAATATGGCAAATTAACACCTTGTACTGGCTGCAGAGCTCAGTGCAGGTTTTTTGACATGACTCAGTGCATAGGACCTAATGGATATATGGAGCCATACTGCTCAACTGCATGCATGAACACATACAAATCAAAATATGCAAAATCACAAAGTAAGTGAAAAGGATGGTGGATTTTCATCACTGATAAAGAATAGATTTGATTTTTTTAAGGAATAAGAAGTTTGCAAATTTTGATTGTTTTTTTGCTTTAGAATAAATTTGTAAATTTTAGAGCTCATCACTCTTCTGAGAGCTTTATAGATCTGTCAGAAATATTTGTGATATTATAGTCCATATTGTAGTACTTTCCCACTTTAATAATTGCAGCCTTCCCCACTGTGGCCTTTTTTGATCCCTCAAACAGTTCTCACTGTTATGAGGCTTTCAAGTTCCCCGGGGTGGGGTGGGAGGGCAGAGGTCGAGGGGGGATGTTGAGACATAAGGAATAATGTATCTGATTCTGCAACATACAGGAGTATACAATATAATCTTCATGCATGTAGGTTGTACTCAGTCTCTTGCACCAAGAAATATTAGATAAGTTCTGCCCATGTGTTTAGTGTATTGCAACTACAGCTCTCCCCCTGCAGAAGTCATTTAGCTAAGAATAAGAGTTCTGGGAAAGGGAATGGTACATCAGACATCAGGTCAAGATGTACCTATTCTTGATTGATAGGAGATAGTAAACCAGTCTGAACACTCTATTGAACAAGAGTAGTACACTTAATAAGAACAAAAAAATATTTTACTTCAAGCTAATGCTTAATTTTAATGAGCAAGAGCAGCAAAATTTAGCATGTTTGTTTTGTTTTGTTTTTTGTTTAGGGGTGAGGTTTGTGGTTGGAAAAGTTAAGAACCAAATTTAGATTTTTACATGGATGGTGGGAAGCGATGACTTAAAACCCAAGAAGTGTATATAAAATTACTTGCATTTATTTTCTTTGTAAATTACATTTTTCTTTTAGGTATGGGAATTATTTGCCACTTTTGTAAACGAAACTCTTTACCTCAGTATCAAGCCACAATGCCCGATGGAAAACTGTACAACTTTTGCAGTTCCAGTTGTGTAGCTAAATTTCAGGTTAGCTGTTGTGTTAAATCTTTTCCTCCCTACCTCTACCTCTCTCTCTCTCTCTCTCTCTATATGAGGCTTTCAAGTTCCCCGGGGTGGGGTGGGAGGGCAGAGGTCGAGGGGGGATGTTGAGACATAAGGAATAATGTATCTGATTCTGCAACATACAGGAGTATACAATATAATCTTCATGCATGTAGGTTGTACTCAGTCTCTTGCACCAAGAAATATTAGATAAGTTCTGCCCATGTGTTTAGTGTATTGCAACTACAGCTCTCCCCCTGCAGAAGTCATTTAGCTAAGAATAAGAGTTCTGGGAAAGGGAATGGTACATCAGACATCAGGTCAAGATGTACCTATTCTTGATTGATAGGAGATAGTAAACCAGTCTGAACACTCTATTGAACAAGAGTAGTACACTTAATAAGAACAAAAAAATATTTTACTTCAAGCTAATGCTTAATTTTAATGAGCAAGAGCAGCAAAATTTAGCATGTTTGTTTTGTTTTGTTTTTTGTTTAGGGGTGAGGTTTGTGGTTGGAAAAGTTAAGAACCAAATTTAGATTTTTACATGGATGGTGGGAAGCGATGACTTAAAACCCAAGAAGTGTATATAAAATTACTTGCATTTATTTTCTTTGTAAATTACATTTTTCTTTTAGGTATGGGAATTATTTGCCACTTTTGTAAACGAAACTCTTTACCTCAGTATCAAGCCACAATGCCCGATGGAAAACTGTACAACTTTTGCAGTTCCAGTTGTGTAGCTAAATTTCAGGTTAGCTGTTGTGTTAAATCTTTTCCTCCCTACCTCTACCTCTCTCTCTCTCTCTCTCTCTATATATATATATATATATATACATATACAACTATTTGTGTATACATGTGTGTTAAAGATGTGCATACTAAAATATCAGGCCTTTATGTAACCTGTTTGTTTCAATATATGACTAATATAAAAAAAGATTATCCTGGGACAGAGGCAAGTTTGGCAGAAAAGTATAGTTTCATAAAACTAAAACTATCTGCTGTCTTCAAACCTATGAAAATAAATGGCCAAAAAGTAAACTCCAATGAATATTCCCACCACACCAACCAACATTAGTTCTTATCACATCTTTTCATTCCTAAAAGCCAGAGGACAGAGGATAGTCTTGCAGTAGGTCAACAAATTCTGTCTCTTTCAAACCAAGTGGAGGTAAATTATAAAGTTGAAGAATATCCTGCTGAGCTGAGGGATCTGTAGCTCATGGGCCTCTAACTGCAATCACCGTCATCTGTCCTGAGGACAGGGTCATTCTCTGAAATATTTGATTCCTCTGCCATTGAGGGACCAGTAGATGAAAACTAATAATTCATACTCTATCTAGGGGTCAGTAGGTAGCCAACTTGTTCCCTGAAGCATTGGTACTCTATCCTCCTGGTGAACTACTGCTTATAGGTAGACTGCTGCACTTTTCATAAGTTTCTGTTTCTGGGTGGTTTTAAGGTATAGCCCATGTGGAGTGTATGACAGTAGATTAATCTTTAGGTATCAGTAGCCAGGCCTCTGAAAGAAGTTGTTGCAGTCTTAAGATTAAACATAATAGAAGAAAATCTTCCTAACATTGTTTTATGACTGTGCAACAGAAGTTGGGGTCCCAGTGATACCTTGAAATTTTCTTGTTTGTCATTCAAGTTTGCATTTACCCCAGTTGGGAAGCAGGTGCAATCATTGCTGGATCATGTGGTTGCTTCTCTTTACCAACCAGCATTATCCTTATTCACAGTGAGCCTCCATCAGATATCTGTTATCTGTGCCCTAATCTTTATCAGGATGGTAAGGCCTCCATCAACACTCTCTCTGTTTGATTAAGTAACAAAATAAAGCTGCATTTTGTCAGCATACTGAAAATGTGATAACCCATACCACTTCTACTGACCCTTCCCAGTCTCATGTATAACTCTTGTCCTCTCACTTCAACAAGATGGAACTCAGCAGAATTTCCACAAAGCTGAAAAGCAGTTGTCCAAAACAACCCTTTGCTATCTCTCTGAATGTTAAGAATAAAGTTACTAAAGGACTGTCTTCTGCCAGGTTTTGCAGGAGTCAATATTTCAACAGTGATCTTGAGAACAGCTGATAGTTCTGCTAAGGTCATCATGGCTTGCTGATTTTTCTTTGTCTAGAACTTGCTACTGAAATTGCAGTGGTAGTGTTGACACACCTGAGCATAGATTGTCCTTGTCCCAGCTAATCTGCAGGCAGCCACACTAGTATATGCATTGTCTTTAATCTGGACTCAAAAGCCAATTATTTGAGCTATAGTGGGATAATTGTCTATATCCAGTCACTTAGGGTTTCTGACTTAGGGTCATATACAGTCACTTATTTAAAATAAGACAATAATCTAATTTTCACAAAAGTTAAGTACCTGAACCATATTTTCCTCTAATTTTCACTGGCCAGGGAGTTTCATAGGTTCTACAGCACAGGCTGTTTAGTGTGAAGTGTTCCCAATATCTCTAATCCTTGGGCGAATAATGCAAGACTAAATTCAAGCTGAGAAGAACTACTGTTTCATTCAGTGCAACATGATCCATGGAAGCAGTTTCTAATGGTATGATTAGCCAGATTTCCCAATGAAAGGTGGGCTCCATTAGTTTTATGTTATATTTAAAATGCAGGTAGGAACCTATATTATACCACAAGAGGCTACGTTGAAAACTATATACTTTTCGTTACCCTTCTGTACCAAGGTAGTAATTTTTTTGTAGTTAAATGACTATGTACTGCAGTACTACAGGAATGGATAAATAATTTAACGTGCTTATAAAGCTTCAGATTGACTTGATTGTTGGCTAATGCAAATAATTTAGCTTTACCTTTTAACCACGTGATTATGCAGCCACTAGTGAGCCATTTTGTCCTTTGAATAATCAGGTGGTTTTAAAAAGGGAATCCTCTCAAAGTAGGATTTAGTCAGGTGATGCATACAATATGAATGAGTACCATCAGGAAGTGGATATTGAACAGCTTTGTACTTCAGTCTGTGGGGAGTATTGTAGATGTAGTGACCCAAGTGGTCCTTTCGAGTCCTACATTGCTTTGTTTTGTGAAAAGGAATTGCTTAAGGCCCTAGACACCAGCATGTTACCTTTCTGCTAGCCATGGGACTTTCTGCAGCAATAAGTGGAACATGCAAAATGAGGTTTCAATCCAAAGTCTTTCAGTCTGTTTTTAATCTAGGTTGCTATGTTTTATTGTTTTAATAGCTTTTCACCTTTGGAAATGAACAAACCTTTCATTTCCAAATAAAAACTTTTAATGTAGTAAAGGCATGTGAGCATTTCAGTTGATGTAATGCACTGTGCAATATATTCTAGTCTAGACTATAGAATAGTCCCTTGAATGGCTAATGCATTCATCCTTATATTTAAGAAGGAAGAAAGAACAAGCAACCTAAAACTGCTATCAGTTATTCCATAGGTGGTTGCTGGTAGAACAGTTTGTTAGTGTCTTTTATCTTAAGTTGTTCATTCATGTGCTAAATGTATTCCTTAGTGGTTTTAAGGTAATGGTTCAGGATTGAGTATGAAGTTGCTCCAGAATCATGTTGTTATCTCTACCCACTGTTTTCTTATCACTTAGTAGGTCTATTGTGTCAGATGAAAGATGTTGTGTTTGACTGTAACTTTTAAGGAAGCTAAAGCTGGAGACTTGCTCCTTTTTCATACAGGGACTACTTTATGAACACTTATTTCCATGTCATCTTGCCAGTAGCCTCAATGCTACTTGGAGCAAGTTCTTTTAAAATAGTGTGCCTTTGGTTAAGTTCTGCCATATGTTTTCTTCCAATATTTATGTGAGCTGAATTTGGGAGTGGAGAAGATCTAATATTTCAGACTTTTGTAAGTAAAATACGCTGCAACCTGTTGGACATTCTGTTTGTGGCCTAGTAGGACATTTGATATTTTCCTTTACTGTCAGTGTGGTGGTTTAAGTATTTTTCCTGTATATCAAAGTGACATGCAGGGAAAATCTATGAAAGCAGGTGGGGGGAGTTTGACACGGTGATAAAAATCTATGCTGTGTGTATGATAGTAATAGACAACATCTGGTATCTGCTGAGGTGCTTTGAAATATTTCAAATCTTGATTTTCTGTTATTCTATGTGGGACAGTCATGGGTTAGGAGATGGTCTAGTAAACTTGCATTTGATAAGGGGCAAACATTTTGCACACTGAAGAATTTTTGGTTTATATTACTTCCCACACAAGAACAATATGAATATTTCTAATATGTTTACTTGGGTTTTATCTGGAGAAATTTGGGATGCCTGTATTATTTTTGTGTTTCTTAGCAGATCTGCAGCCTGTGCATTTGTGAGCTGAATTGCTGCCAAAATTTGAATTGTTCTTATTCTGATCAAGACAGACCTCCATGGTGTCTATCAGTGCAATGCAGATGTCAATGACAAGCACCAGACAAGTAGCTGTAGCAGTGTTTTAGTTCTCTCAGTCCAATTCCAGGTTGCATTTGTTCCACTCTTTTATTCTGACTGACAACCAGGGTAACTTCTTGTTCAGGTTCCATGCAAACCTGAGAGTAGCCTCTGATAGTATCAGCTGTACCTGGCACTTCTCATGTCTTTTCTATTCAGTACAAACCCAAGAACAGCCAAGGTAAAATGGGACTGCTTTGGCTTGTAATCAAGATAAAAAAAGAAGGGCATAAATGTATAATTTAAAACAGAATTTTAATTAAGTACAATATAGATAGATTTTGGTTGTGAGAGGTGACCTGCAAAAGATTTTAATGAGCTTGTAAACTTTTTCTTCTGCCTTACTTGTTTTAACTGTAGCACCTATCTTGTATTAGATGCTTCCCAGGCATTTAAGGAGGACATTGCTCTGTACAGCTTGTAGTTTAAGGAAAGACAGATGTTAGGGGGAAGAAATTACAATATACATATCTAATTCATTCACCATAATCATAAGTTAGTACACCGGAGGGCAGAGAGCAGATTCAGGCCGACCTGGACAGGTTGAATCAATGGGCAGAGAGAAATAGGATGCAATTTAATAAAGAAAAATGTAAGGTACTCCACCTGGGAAGGAGGAATCCCCAGCACGCCTCTGGGTTGGGGAGTGTCCTTCTCAGCATTTTGGGGACAGAGAGGCATCTTGAGTCATCATTGACTTCAAGGTGAACATGAGCCGGCAGTGTAAGGAGGCCATCAACAAGGCCAATCGCACCTTGTCATGCATTAGCAGGTGCATGACTAATAGATCAAAGGAGGTGATGCTCCCCCTCTATGTGGCACTGGTCAGGCCGCAGTTGGAGTACTGTGTCCAGTTTTGGGTGCCACACTTCAAGAGGGAAGTGGAGAATCTGGAGAGGGTCCAGAGGTGGGCCACTCGCATGATTAGTGGCCTTCGTGATAGACCCTACGGGGGGATGTTGAGAGAGTTGAATCTCTTCAGCCTTCACAAGAGACGGCTGAGGGGAGATCTTGTGGCTGCCTATAAATTTATTAAGGGAGGTCAATGGGGAATAGGGGATGCGCTGTTTACTAGGGCACCCAAGGCAGTGACTAGGAATAATGGGTGTAAACTAGTTGAGAGTGGATTTAGGTTAGATATTAGGAAGAAATTTTTCACAGTAAGGGTGGCCAGGATCTGGAATGGGCTTCCAAGAGGTGGTGCTATCACCTAGCTTGGAGGTCTTCAAGAAGAGGCTAAACAGTCACCTGGCTGTGGTCATCTGATCTTGGTCTACTTTCCTGCCAGGGGCAGGGGGTCAGACATGATGATCCATTGTGGTCCCTTCCGACTCTATAGTCTATGAATCAATGAATCAGGGCAGAAACAGCACTTAAATAAGGATTTAATTGAAGGCAGAGTAGTGACCTTACAGATAAACTCAAAGGGGGGATGAAAAAAAAAGCTGAAGGCAGCTTTAGCTTGTTCTTTTTAAAATCCTTTTTGCATGGTTTATTTTAGAAATATCTTAAATTTTGAAGTCTGTTCTTTCCATGGATGTGTTGGAGGATGTCTGGTAGACATGGTAAGCCTTGGGTGTTAAGGTCTGATATTATAGTTGAAGAGGGAAGGATGTTGAATTGTTTATAAACAAAACCTTTAATACTGAATTAAGTGTTATGCATTATAAAGAAACTAGCAATCGTTTCATGTCATCTTTGTCATAAAGCTAATTCTCTGTTCCTTGTTTCTTGGTGGTCCTTGTAGAAGAACAGACAAACAAAAATGTGTAGTACTTTTTAGACTTGGGTACACAACATTCTTCTCTATGACCATTTGCCTTGCTCAACTTCTTATAATTCTAGAAGTTCCCATTGGCATCCAGCTGTTATTTCAGCAGCATCTCTTGCACTCCTGAGCAAATAAGGAAAATATCCTTTAGCTCTGCATGGTCCTCCAGTGTTTCCTCATTTTCCAGTCAGTATACTTTCTGGGGCCTCTACTGTACTAGGTGGGGAGTAGATGGTGGGGAGAATTTATGAATACAGACCTGAAGGACCCAGGGGGATATATCTTTTCTCTGATCCTACTGTACTTTCTTCTCTGGAACCTGGAGGGAAACAAGAGAGCATCTTCAGTAATAAGATTTTTTAAAAAGCAAATGAAGAAATAAAAGGCAAGCAAAACTAAAAAGAATTTGAAGAAACTAACAAAATAATACAGCCAAACTGTTAACTTTTTTAACAAAATACCCATACCTATAGGACCATAGCTTAATAACCTCTGATAGTCAGTCCAGCAGCACATGTAGAGAGAACTACTGACTTCATAACTGCATATGTAGGTTTTTAAAGTATAGCAGGTTGTAGCTGCTTTCCTCAGCATATGCTTAGCTCCCAGTTCAAGAGCTCCCAGTTCAAGCCTAATATGGCTTTTTCAAACAATGGAACAAGCCAAATATGATGAAATTCTCTACGGAAGGGAACTGTATTCAACATAGCAGAAGAAAGTCAACACTACAATCCCTGAAATTTTTGCATTGCATAATGTGTATGAGCATCATTATGCTAGACTTAAAACTGCAAAGTTGACTGGTGGGATAAGTCATATTATCTGGTAAAGGTGTGTCAGCATTTGGCTTGCTTTATACTGGGGAATGTCTTCTCTGTAGCAAGGATATGCATCAATATGACTACAGCTTTGTCAGTACTGTTTCAAATTCTCATAGTGTAAATGGGTCCTAAAGAACTTAAAAGGTCCCAGGAGAACTGATCTTAGACAAGCCAGTTTAATCTTTAACTGACATAGCTGTTGAAATCAGGTAGAAAACTGGAATTACTCTGATTTGAATGTTCAATTTAAACTGATTAGCTCCCTCTCTCTTTAAAAATGTCTTCCTACTGCACATTTATTATTATTCTATTTATAATCTGTCCTGCTCTGAAAAGGTTATTGAGAAGACAGGTGTAAGGAAATTTGTATTCTATATTTGGTTCTTCAGATTTCTATCATCTGAGATGAACTAGCATTGAGACCAAACTTTTTGGTTCGTCTAGTGTTGTGCAAAGGATGGTATCTGCAATGGGTTTATATTACCTTTTGGAAGGCTGTAGTAGTTCTGCAACTGAGTTCTTTATCTGCTGTGGCACTGGCTTCTTCTATATCTTCAGTTGAAATTCATGGGGTCTCTGATTTCACAGCCCTGAGTGATTTGAGATTTAGCTGTCTGATAGTGCCTTTCTTTGTCATGGTAGTTGAGGTGAGCTGGGATGCTTAACTGGCATTTCCTGGATTAGGATTAGTGTGGAGCAGTGAAGTGGGGGTGATTGGACACCTGGTTTCAGGGTGTTCTCTTTGGAAGATCCTTTACTCTCATATTTATTTTCTCGACTGGTCTGCTAGATTTCATGTTTGACCTTTTTAAGACCTGTTGCAAGGCCCATCTCTTCCCAGGCTTTTGCCTGCGGGCAGAGTAACATTCTTCTACCTCAGTCTGGTTTTTTTTGTACAGATATTGCTTTGTCTGGTAAAACCTCTTGTGATAAGAGGGATAGCCCAAGATGAGAATTGTGTTTATTTTAAGTTGTATGACTTTGCAGTTAATAATGAAGTCATCCATGGTCTTGGACTACTTTTCAGTGTGCATACATGTATACAAAAATCAGGCAGAGAGAGGTCCTGAAGACTGAGTATGGTAGAAGGAAAATGTAGAAGAATCAAGGCAGAAGATCATCAAAGGTGAAATAAGTAGACTGCATCAAGAATAGCTGGAGACTTGTGCAATTGTAGGAGCCCTATAAAGTAATCAGAGTTGAGGAAAAAGAATTGAGACAAAAATGCTCACCTGTATTGCCTCTTAAGAAAAGCTCCTGAATTTTATATATCAATCTCCCAAATTCCCAGTAACCGTTTAACATTAGTAAAAATATTTTCAGAATTAAGAGAAATATTAACTTGTGAAATGCTTTCCCATACAGTGATATATGTATATTTTTGTATTTTTCAGACTCTTAGTGTGCAGTCTTCAACCAATGGTCAGTTTGTTTCTCCAAGTGATATTCAGCTGAAATGCAATTATTGCAAAAGTTCTTTCTGTTCAAAGCCAGAAGTACTGGAGTGGGAAGTAAGTTCTTTAGCCTGGATGCGGAACTAGGGATGGTTAAGCATACTTAAGGTCACCTGTAAAGGTTTGAACTAGCATTGTATTTGTTTGTCTCTAAGTAGGTAGTATAAAAAAAATCTATGGAAACTTCTCATCTAGTAAGTGAGGTAGTTACGAAAAATGTCCAACTAATTTTTTAATGATAGGAATTAAAATATTTAACTCTGTGCTGTGTATGGATAATATAAAAGAGTAAAGAAGGCTCTAGAATTAAGGCGGAAAAAAGGATTTTTTTAACTGAGGCTTGAAGTCTGCTTTCATCTCCTTTTCATCTATTATTGATATAACTGACCTAGATCATCTTTACTGTTCTAGAAGTTGAGGAGACAAATATCTGAAGACTTACAAATATATGATCTTTACCCATTGTCATGTTCTGCATGTGAAATGATTAATTAACAGCTTTTGTAGCACTGAGGGGGCTGGACTCGATGATCTTCCAAGGTCCCTTCCAGCCCTAATGTCTATGAAATCTATGAATACCAGTTTGAGCAAAAGCTGGCAGTTATTTTGATAGTCATGTTATCTCCATATGCCTGTACTCTTTTTCAGAAGTGTGCCATAAACAAAGTTGTGTATTAAAGTAAATTCTTGTTTAAAGTTGTACTCCTAATCTGTTTTTATGTAACCTTTTTGTGATGTTTTGTGGTTTTATTTAGAACAAAGTATATCAGTTCTGCAGCAGAACTTGTTCTGATGATTATAAGAAACTGCACTGTATAGTTACATACTGTGAATACTGCCAAGAGGAGAAAACGCTGCATGAAACAGTGAATTTCTCTGGTATCAAAAGACCGTTCTGTAGTGAAGGTACGTTTATTTCTTGCCTATGATGTAAATCTCATAGTTCTACTGCCTTGCTTTATGATATTAAAAAGTTTCATACTAAAATAAGATTCAAACTTAATCAAGAGTATTTGAGCTGGAGCAGAGATCTTTCCCTTCCTGATGGGTATTGTTCTTTTGAATTTTTGACTTACTCCTAGGTTTGGGAAAGCTATGCATGACTCCCCAAGAATTTGTCAGTGGTCTGCACCATTCTCCCTTGAGAGAGATTTGTTTTTTTTGAGATCAGTGTTGTAGTACCTACACCTCTTGACTAGGATTGAGCTGGTGCAGGCATTCCATGTGGAATTCTCAAAAAGCAAACCATTATTAGAAAAAAAAAGTTCACGTAAGCAATAATTGGCTGTTTTAATATGTGATCACTGTGAGCTTAGTATAATCTTTGACTAGTGAATTTGGAATACTTAAAGGAAAAATAGGCTCAGAAAATGGTAGAGGTGGTTGGGGATGGGGTTCTTTAAAATATATTGAAAGCATGAAAGAGTGGTGTGTTTATAAAACATAGAAAAACTCAACTGAATCTGTAAACATTTTAAGTTTTTCAGACAGCATGAAACAGACTCTGAGCAGTGATTTTGAAAAATACCTTTGTGAGTTTAGTTTTCTCTCTCTACACTTATTTCATAGAAATTTACTTGGTTAAAAAGGTGTTTCAGTTGTTTCGTTTCTTGTTGTTTTCTTTTTAAGTCTAACGACCACACACACAAAATTAATTTGGTACCTTAACCTCTATTATGTCTTTATACACTTTCAAGTCCTGTAATCTTAACAGGATATCACCTCTTCTGTTCTCCTTTGAGGCAGCCCTATCCTGTGACATTAGGACTGATCTCATCTTGAAAAGCCTGACAAGAATTCTTTGCCTCCTGTGGTGCAAACAACAATTTCAAATTTGTTTTATAATACAGTTCTTCTTACCTATAAGTTAAACCCCACAAAAACGGGGGTGGGGGGAACCCATCTGTCTAAGAAATCTCTCCCTGACTTGGACCTGCTCCCCAGTATCTCCCGAGTTAGCATTTTTTAACTGTGTATGACTTTTTTGTTTTTGGAGACCACAGCCCACATTACTTCCTTCTAAATTTCCATACTGCATGATGGTACCCTTTTTTCTTCTACAAAGCAGATCTATCTGAACGACAATCAGAAAGGTTCTGGAGACTGAGAGCCACTAGGTAGCAGTATCAGCACTGATACTGTTCTTTGCAATAGAATTTTCAACTCGATAAACTCTAGCTCCTCAGGTGTCCCACCTGCCCACTTTTCCTATTCAGAAGTGGGATCCTATACAGGATATTTTGACAAATGTCCTGGCCTGTTTTTTATCACATGGATTCAGCAAACAAAGTGTCCTCTGAGGTCACAAGGTTTATTTTTCTCTGGAGAGAGGCAGTCTTTGCAGTAATCCTACCTGCCTGTGGTAGTTGCCATCTTGACTGACACAGCAAGTATCTTTGGCTGCCTCCTTTACAGCAGATGAATTTCTATATTCCTTATGTTGCTTGCCCTGGTTTCTGTAACACATATGGAGAGACGATCATTTTATGCATTTATTCAAGTAAAAACTACTGAAAAACAAAGATCAAAGCTATTGGGAATGTAATGGGATAAGGAAAAGTTGCCTGTCTTTCGTAAGGTACCACAAAGGGCATTTTAGTCGGCCTTTTTGGAAAAGGCAATCCTTATGTCTGTTGCTTATCAAGAACCCAAAGATGCAATGTCATTCAGAAACAAGAGGAAAGGACTGACCACACACTAGTTTTGTAAATCAGACAGCAAAATACAGGGACATTTCTGTCCTTTCCCATTATCTCAGGAATAAAGGCTATCTCAGATGGGTCATCAAGACTTATCAGAACTTTGGTAAAATGAAAATCTGTTATTCATCAGATCCCAGGACAGGTATTTGTAAATTGCTCTGACTGAGGCTTTCCCATCATCAAAGCCATAGAAATAATTTCCATGAATGAAAAATTCTAAGGAATATAGTCAATTTTCTTTGACCTAATGGCAAAGTAAATGAAAAGACTTTAGATGATAACCAAGAACCACATTATAGAACACCTCTAAATTGACTAACTTCCAGTGTTGAACTGCTACTTGATAGTGACATGATCCCTTTGATGAGGTAAATGTTATTGTTAGCATTGGTTTAATGGTCTGAGTTTGTGTGAAACCTTGTAAAGACTGAACTGTCAAGTAACACAGCTAGAGTAGTCAAAAAGTGAAAAGGGAGCAGAAATGAGTTTTACTGTGGAGCAGTCAGACTTGTGCTTATATTTTAAATATATTTGTACCACATGCAGGGCCATCCCTAGGGGGGAGAGAGGGGACGAATCGGGGTGACCACCCCAGGCCCCGCGCTTTGGGGGGCCCCACAGAGCTGGGCAGAGTGGCCTTGGAGACTCTGTGCCGCTGCCGCCAGCTTTGCATCCAGCTGCTCGGTATTCCCCCTGCCAGCGCCAATGGCGGCAACAGCTTCTTTACATCCAGGGGCGGGGGTGGGGCCCCGCACGAGCTGATTTGCTCTGGGCCCTGCACCCTGCTCGGATCAGCTCTAACCACATGTACAGAAATCATAATTGAAAACATGGATGTGTGCATATGAACAAAAGTGCCTGTACAACATGGTGACTGCTTAGCTGGGTGTAGCTCATATGCCATCAGTGGTTCCTCTATGAGGGAAGTCATCAGAAGTTCTGTCCAAGTTTTGATAGAGGTGAATAGGTCTAGTCATGACTCTACAGCAGGGGCAGGCAAAGTCTGGCCTGCAGTGGACTCCATTTCCCAGCAGCTCCTGCCTGCATCACTGTGGCCAATTTCTGTGGAGACTCCAGGAGCGGTGGGACTGTGACAGCGTGGGGCTAGGGATTCCATGGAGATCAGCCTCAGCAGCGTTGGCAGGGCATGCAGCTGGGTGGGGAGCTGCTCTAGGACTGGGATCTTGTGGTGGTGACAGCGTGGTCTGGAGCCGGGGCAGGGCTGCGATCCACTGCCCACAGGGACGTGCAAGCTATGGATTGCGCCTCTGCCCTGGCTCTGGATCACACTGAAAAATACCAGGCCTGGCCCCAGAGCAGCGCCCTGCCCAGCCTTATGCCCTGCCAGTGCTGCTGGCAAAGGTTCTCTTTTAATGTTCTCTATTAAACAAATATCTTGGTATTGTATGTATTTCATGGCACACTCTGAAAACTAATGTAGTAGAACAGTCTGAGTCTATAATTCCTGGATATAACCCCATTACTGTAATCTGCTCAAACATACAGATCTTCTGGCTGGTAGGGGTACAGTCAAATCCCATCATATTACAATTAACAGGGATTTGAGAATGAGCAATCAGTGCTACTTCGGATATCCACAAAATATTTTGAGTTCCTGAAGGAAATTTGAACTCTTCATGGTGGGAAAACATGGACAAAGTTCAAATACCAATATTATGAAACACTCTTAAGCATATTTAACAGTAGCTTAGATAAACACATGTTGGATTTTTTGCAAGGCTGCTTTTTATTTTCCTTTCAAAGCAAACACCATCAAGAAGCCTATATTTTGGCTGTCATTACTATGTTTGACTGTGCTAGTTATTGACAATAATATCAGATTCCCAAGGGATGTCATTTTTGAGTCCTGTTCCTATCCATTTGTGTTTGCTGTCTTGCACCAAACATGGGATTGGTGTTTCTGTACTTTTACTTTCTAAATCTGCATTTTAATTAATGTATTGGAAATATACGGTTTCCTTGACAAGAGTACTAAACCTTCACCAGAACTGAACCCACATTCATATGAAAGCTTGTTTGATTTCTTTGCAGAGCATGGGTATGTTGCCTCATTTTTGTCCAAGTCCCCAAGTATGCTATGTATTCTTGAGCAGCGTAAACTGACCAGTAGAAGAGCTATTAAAATCTGTCTATTCAGGGGAAAAAAACCCGCCTTTCTAATGCTTTACCACCTCAAGGGAAAGATACTCAAAACTTTGATATCGGACTGAGTTAAGGAGTGTATTGTATAGGTGGAAGTTTAGGTATTACAAAGATATATTACAGGTGTATATACAGGTATAGATATTAGAAGTAGAACTTGGAATCATAGAAAATAGGGCTTAAAGTAATGAACCTCAGGAGGTCAACTTGATATCGTTCAACCCCTTGCTTCAATGTAGGATCATTCCTATCCAAACCATCCCATTCCAATTTCTGGTCTAACCCAGTGGTTCTCAAACTTTTTTTTTTGTACCAGGACCCATTTGTAAACATCAAAGACCAGTCCTGACCTAGTGCCCCTTACTCCCAGCCCCGCAGTGTGTGGAGCAGGGAGTGGGTTTGTAGGGCAGGACAGGGGGCCCAAGCAGCCCCTCAGAGGCTGGAACTCTGCCAGTCTGCAAGGGAAAAGCTATGGTTTCCTACGTTTTTTTCCTTTAAAGGAAAATCCATTTAAAGTTTGTTTGCAACCCTTTCATATATTTTAGCGACCCATGGGTTGAGAAACACTGATCTAATCTATTCCTAAAGCTGCAAACAACCCTATTGCCCATCTGCAACGCATATAGCCCCAAACCACCAACAATGCCGTAGCTTACCCAGGTAAGGCAGGGAAAGACAGCATTGTTAATGTTCTGCTGCTGTGAGAGTTATTGAAATACACTCAACATCCAAGGAAGAGGGCTGTGCCCCGCACCTCTCCCCCTCATAGAGAAAGGCAAATTCTCCTTCCCCCTCCCCCTGCATCCATGCCAGACTGTGTAGTAACTGGAGAACCAGAACTCCCTTTTCTGTAATTCTGTCCCTTCCATAAATTTAGCCCCTTTAATCTTCTTTTGTAATTAAGCCGGTTATGGAGCTGTCCTTCATTTTCTTGTTGCTAAGCATAGATTCCTCTGATACCTACCTGTCCTGCACTATACAGCTCGTGCACTCTCCCAGCAATTCGTGTGGTTGGCTCTTGGGCCTACCGACTCTTGTTCT